AGGACTTGAGGGTGTTGACAGATGAGAAGCTTAACATGAGCCAGCAGCGCGCTCATGCAGCCCGGAAGGCCAACCGCGTCCTGGGATGTATCAAGAGAAGCGTGGCCAGCAGGTCAAGAGAGGGGATTCTCCCCCTTTACTCTGCTCTCGTGAGACCCCACCTCCGTTCTAGTGCCCCCACCATAAGAGGGACGTGGAGCTGTTGGAGCATGTTCAGAGGAGGGCCACAAGGGTGATCCAGGGGCTGGAGCATCTCTGCTACGAGGACAGCTGGGATTGTTGAGTCTTAAAAGAAAAGACTTTGGGGGGACCTAATAGTTGCCTTCCAATACCTGAAGGGAACCTACAGGAAGGCTGGGGAGGGACTTTTTACAAGAGTGTCCAGTGATAGGACAAGGGGAAATGGGTTCAAGTTGAAGGAGAATAGATTTAGATTGGACCTTAGGAAGAAATTCTTCAGTACGAGGGCAGCAAGACTTTGGAATAAATTGCCCAGAGATGTTGTGGCTGCCCCCTCCCTGGAGGTGTTCAAGGCCAAGTTGGATGGAGCCTTGAGTAGCCTGATCTAGTTGAGAGGCGTCCCTGCCCATGACAGGGAGCTTGGACTAGATGATCTCTAAGGTCCCTTCCAGCCTAGGCCATTCTATGATTCTATGATTTGCAATAGGAGACGACATCTTCAAAGCTGTCTGTAAGGAAACTCAAAATAGGAAATTATTTTACCATCAACTTACTTCTACAATAGCAAAAAATACTTATTTATTAAAAAGTAATGTAGAAAAAGTGCAACTATCATTACAAAGTGTAGCTACAACAATTTGTTAAAATGCTGTTCTATCAGCAGAAAACAGGCTGTACTTACACTTGTAGTGTATCATAACTAATAGCACAGGTACTCTTCAATGGCTCACTCTACACTGAATTTAGTTGATTTTAGTAGGCTGTTCCAACACCAACAGAGGTTCAAATTTGAGACGATACCAATTAGCACCTCTCAAGTATTAAAGGCATTAAATTAGTTCCAATTCAGTCTAAGTGGGCTATTCAGATGAATGACAAAAGGAAAACAGAGCACGGAAAGGTAAGTTATGCATTACGCCTGGGGCTTTTATTTGGAAAGCAAATAAAAAGGGTCAAATTGTTAATGGCCAAAGGATTTAGGTTGTGTTTGGTATACACTTCATATGTTTTTGTCCTGTTACGAATTCACTGAGAACAAGATTCTTTGTACTCTAAGAAACACATAGGTGTGATTTTAATGTCAGTGTTTCAACAATTGCTACTCAGTTATTGTTGTGCAACTTTATTTCACACTACTTTGCAATTGCTGTAACAATTGCCAAGTCATGAAATGCTGCAAAACAAAACAACCAAACAAAATTAAAAAAATCAGTGACAGAAAACGCTAAACAGTTAGTGGTTTGGGCTTAAGTGGCAGAACGTACAGTCTCTGTTCTTAAGAAAAAACTTCAGGAGAGTCTCTCAAGTGGGAAAATACAGCAATGATTTCCATGAGCTGTGAAGTACATTAAATTCATAACACAGTGATCTGTAGTTACTTTAATGCCACAGTACATTTCAAGCAATGCATGTGTTCGTGAGCAACAGGAAGCAATCAATGAAGGTAAAAAACCATCCTACAGAATGCAGTGAACACATTTTAGAAGATACTGCGTGCAGTAGCAGTCTCCATGCCACTGTCCTGAAGGACTATGAATGATTCCAGGGTGACAGAGCACACCTGCAGAACATAAAGTTCAAAAGACACAGACAATGTCATAGCAGCTGACTGGAGCATCACAAGGAGTGAAAGCTGATGAGCGGTTGTAGTGTGAAGAGATTTGGTGCATGGAGGCAACTTTGCCAAGATGCTCCACAAAGCAGTGAAGGTCGACAATTGACTGAGGCTCCTTAGCTTTTTTTCCTCCTGGTTTGTTAAACTAAAGCCTAACAGAGTGGTTTGCTATATTCTGTGCATCTTAAGTAGTAATCAGCTTATACTTTGAAGTTGTACATATCTTGCTTGCAAAGTCCTTTTATGCAAGGACTAAACAAGATTCAAATGCTCTCCCTGAAGATCTAATGCTACTAAGAAGTTTTCCTCATTAAACCATGACAGCAAGCAATTCAACATTCACCTCTACTGCAAAGGGACAGGGCAATACAAGTCCTGATAGGATTCTATGATTTACAAGACAGTATTTCCAACGATTATGACATTAGGAAGAAAAAATGTAAAGAAACTGTGATTTTTGTGATTAAATATAGCCAAAATAAAACCATTTTCCATACAATCTTGCTTGAAGTCATCAGTTTATAGAAGTCGTTCTCCTTCTTATACCTCCCACAGTGACAACGATTTCAGGCATGGCACTGCTGATTACCGTGCACAGAATACTGTAAACAAGTGGGCATAGAACAGTACAGAGGCAGCCAGGACTGACAATCAGGAAAGGGCTGTAGGTGCCGAATATCTTCAGAAAAGTTAAATGTAAACCAAAGTGTTTTATTTGGGTGCTTTGGTGCATGAGATGCCACAGCTCCCACATGCAGATCATTTCTAATCGTTCCTCTATTAAGTTTGTGAAGTCTATGTACCCTATGACTAAAATCTTCTGTTTCATACTTATCGATGTTTGTTCGCCTATAACCTTATCCAATGGCATCCTAAACACCAAGGTGATCAAAAGTTTAGGCAGTCTATCAAAAAAAGCCCAACTTTCACACAGGCATAATAGCTTCTACTACACCAGATAACCTTCAGAGCTAGAAAACAAGCAGAAAGCCTGCAACTCTGAAAGACTTTGACAATATAACTTTCTGAGAAGAAAGCTGTTCTTACGCACCTCCCATTTTAGCTGACTTCAGGGAGCACCTCTATACCACCTTCATGGGAAGCTATTCTCATGCTCCTTGGAATGCATGGAGCAAAGTCAGCCAGTATTGAAATAACTCAGGAGAGCCCCACTGCATGTATTATCAGACAGCTCAAGTGAGGATACACAATTTCAGCTGGCTATTGCCAAATCGTTGAGCACTCATATATTTTGAAAGTCAGTGACCTACTTTCATTTATTACTTACCATCTTCAGTGGTGACCCCAGTTTTCTCTTCACTCCAATCACTCCAGTAGCCCACTCCATCTTCCCTTATGCAACGAATTGAAAAGACATACTCCGTGTAGGGTCTGAGCCCTTGAACACTGAATGAAGTTCTTGGTGAAGCTGTATCTTCAGGAGGAACCTGTAAATGGAAGAAATATTTTAGAGGCACTGATCAAAAAACTGTAAAGCCGAGTTCTGTGCTACTGCAGCTCCCATCCAAGAGGGCTCCCCACCTCATAAACACCCGATACAAACATAGTTTTTCTGCTCCCTTATTTCCAAAAGCTTCAATTCCCAACCAGGGTTTGAGGTAAGGGATCATAATTGTGTGCATTTACCTGGTATAATACAATATATACACTAGAATAGATAAACAGCTATCACAGGACAATCATATTCCTTTTTCAATTAGTCTATGTCTACCTCTCCTTCCTTCCCATGTAATTCCTCTACATTGCTAGGTTACCTGTTTGATCAGTGATGGCTAAATACCTGTGCTACAAGTCTCACATAAAGCTAGAGAATCCATGACCATTGCTTACTCTGATACAGAACAGTGTTTTTCAACTGACATTGGAAATAGTTTGGTTTAGAGTACTTTATACTTGTGCTTTATTTTCATAAGTTCTTTCCTTTATCTTAGATTAGCAACTGAATGACAGAAAATATTCATACTTCAGAAAGAGATGTGTGATAAAGATAATATATATGTAGGTACACACACTCCATCACAGGTTATTCTACTGGCAGCTAAGAGAGTTTTATAGTGAACAGCCCTGCAAGATGAATGACTGCAGACTAAACATGTATGCAGAACACTCGAGAAGTTAATCCTGAGTGCAAAGAATTGACAAAATAGTCGAATTTTACCACAGCTAAGTAAGTTCAGTTTTAAAATTTACTATTTCAATTGTCTTGTGCATATGCTAAAAATGCAATACAAGCTAAAAGGACTTAATAGGACAATGCATCAAGATACTGGAGTTGCAGAATAACCTGTGCAGGACAGGGTTCTTTAATAATAATTGTGTGCATCTATAGCTTGAAAAAAGCCTCCAAAATAATACACTGCATTAGTCACAAGCAGTTGTATTATGCTACCTGCTTCAAACACCATATTTTGGTAAGCAGACTTCCTTCCAACAAGTCATGAAATTCAAAATACATTTGGGTCTCTATACTGAAATAAAAGATGGTAAGATCTTGATGAAAAGAGTGTTTCTGGAAGATTGCTGCTCTGAGAGAAGGCTTAAAGAAAGGCAAAACTGAGAAGCTATTGTAAATATGTCCATAGACTGATATAGAAGAAAAACCTCACTATTGATGACAAGAACATACTCATCTCCAACTCCTTGACTGCATCAGGCTTAAGGCATGTATGCAGAAAAAACATACTGTATAGAATTATTTAGTTTGGGAAAACCATTTAAGATCAAGTCTAACTGTAAATCTAACACTGCCAAGACCACCACTAAACCTCATCCCTACAGCACCACATCTACATATCTTTTAAATACCTACAAGGATGGTGACTCCACCACTTCCCTGGTCAGCATGTTCTGATACTGATACTTGATGACCCTTTCAATGGAAACATTTTTTCCTAATATCTAATCTAACCTTCTCTGGTACAACTTGAGCCCATTTCCTCTTGTCATATCTCTAGTAACTTGGAAGAAGAGATCAACCCCCACCTCACTACAACCTCTTTTCAGGTAGTAGTAGAGAGCAATAAGGTCTCCTCTGAGCATCCTTTTCTGTAGGTTAAGCAACTCCAGTTCCCTCAGCTGTTCCTCATAAGACATTCTCCAGACACTTCACCAGCTTCGTTGACGTTCTCTGGATCCACTCTAGCACCTCAATGTCCTTCTTGTAGTGAGGAACCCAAAACTGAACAAACAATTCAATGTGTGGCCCCACCAATACCAAGTTCAGGGAGTACAATCACTTCCCTGGCTCTACTGGTCACACTATTTCTGATACAGGCCAGGATGCTCTTGATCTTCTTGGCCACCTGGGCAAACCGCTGGTTCATGTTCAGCATCCCCAGGCCCTTTTCTGCCAGGAAGCTTTCCAGCCACTCTTCCCCAAACATGCAGCACTGCCTGGCGTTGTGACTCAAGTGCAGGACCCAAGCACTTGGCCTTATTAAATCTCATACAATTATGGTAAGGACAGCAGAGAAGTCCACCAAAAAGAGACAACGTCACTGTACTGTACCAAAAGAAAAAATCCTTAATCACAGCCTTTGTGAAGAGACAAGGTAAATTCCCTTGGAAGGCAACATAAGGACTAAAGATAATAAAATGAATCCTCTGAAATGTAACAGTGAGGAAACTTCTGCAGTTTGACAAGTGGCTGCTTTACAGTAGAAGAATGACACGGGACATTAGTGGTATTACCTGCATCCAGTCTGTGTCACCAACAACCCTATAGCGAATATTGAATTTGAGCTTCATCACAGCTCCTGAAATTCGATTATCCCAGGAAAGCTTCAGAACAGTAGGTAGTATTCCTGATTTGACCAATAAGTTGTGTGGAGGCAGAGGTTTAACTAGAAAAGAAGAAGTTAGTCAACTTTACAGCTGTGCTTTGTGACGCCTCTAGCAGCTGGTACACGATGCTGTAACACTACCATTAAAGCCTTTCACAAGCTCAAATGGCTGCTACCTTATAGTAGTTCTTAAAGCATGCTATTCAACAGGATATTGCTGTTTGAATTGTGATCAAACCTCTCACTTTCCATACCTTTTTCCAGCACAATTCAAGTGCTAGTCAACAATATTTTTGCACTGTTACTTTTTATAGTGAAGAATTATTAAAACACCAATTCAGCAACATGCACACAGGAAGCAGTTATGTACTACTAAGGCTTTATTAAGAGGCACATAATTACCAATCTCAATGGGATCAAGAACAAGAGGATCAGATTCAGCCTTCCCAAGAGCATTTGCTGCTTCTACCCAGAGCTCCAGGTTAACAAAGAACTGAACATCACTAATCGTACAAGAATTGTTTACATCTTTTGGTATACAGTCAGGAAAGTTCTCTTGTGGCCTAAATAAAAGAGAAGGAAAAACATGGTATAAAGCAATAAGTTTGGTTCCTTTAGAGAATATTTTTAGTAGATCTGAGTGATTAATGAGTTTAGCTTGTATGTTTCCCCTCTGCTATTACCTTTGTAATCAGAGCAGAGAATAAAAAGGTGAAGAGATTAGAAGGGCTTGTTCAGCCACAAATGCATGACTGCATTAAAACAGAAACCTGAATAAAATCTCTTTACTACAAGTCATTATCTTCAAAAGCACAAACCATGGTGGTGAAGTTGCTTAAAAACATGATTTAGCTTCAAAAACAGAGATCAAGAATTGATACATTTAATCAAAAGCAATATGGATAGTAACTAGGAGCAGTTTCACACACGAAAAGATGTAGTCAGCACTACCTGCATACCCTTCAAGAGTACAGTGTTACAGCTCCAACACATCATTTCTGTTCAACATCAGCTACACTAACAGCAGACAGGGCCATCAGGAGATTTGAAAAGCATTAAGGTTTTCTTTCTGTTCATGCTTTCTACTGCACTTATTACCAAAACACTTTGTCAGTGTGGAGTACATGGGAAGTTGTAGGCAGTAATTCTTGTTTCCAGAGCAGAGCAACAATTCTGTCTACTTCATTTTTATAGAATGGTTTGGGTCAGAAGGGACCTTCAAGATCATTTACAATCTTAAAGACCATCTAGTTCCAAACCCCCTTCCCACTAGACCCAGCCCACCATATGGCTCAAAAGCCTTGAACACTTCCAGACAGCTTCTCCAGGTAACCTGTTCTTGTGTTTCACCATCCTCACAGTATAGAATTTCTTCCTTATATCTAGCCTAAATCCAACCTCTTTTAGTTCAAAACCATTACCCATCATCCTATAACTACATGTCCTGCTAAAAATACTGTCCCTCCCCATCTTTACTGCAGGTCCCCTTTAAGTATTGAAAGGCTGCAATAATGTCTCTCCAGCCTTCTCTTCTCCAGGCTGTGTAGCCCCAACTCTCAGCCTGTCCTTGTAGGGAAGGCACTCTAACCACCTGATCATTTTTGCGGCCCTCCTCCAGACTTGTTCTAACATGTTCACTTCTTTCTTTTGCTGAGGATTCCAGAGACGGACACAGTACTGCAGGTAGGGTTTCATCAGAGTCAAGCAGAGGTGGAGAACCACTTCCCCCAACCTGCTGGCCACACTTCTCTTGATGCAGCCTAGGATGCAATTGGCTTTCTGGGCTACAAGCACACATTGAGCAATAAGAGATAATTTGAAGGGTTACAAAAATGCTTGTGTTAATTTGCTTCCAGAGGAGAAATACTTTTGTTGATGTTTTCATGTTGGGATTAATTGTGGACAAACAATATTCTAAGTTCTTAGAAATTATGGGATAGATCATATCTACAAAATCCAGTCACTATATATTGGTTTCTCTATGTAGAATCATAGAATGGCTTGGGTTGGAAGGTCATGTTGCCGGACCCTCCTGCAATTAGCAGGGACATCTTCTGCTTGTTTAGAATGGGATAGAACAGTCGCCACAGAAATACATAAGGAAAAATAAATAACTAATTTGAGTCCAGTCAGCTAATGATTATGTGTATTGGACTGAAGCCACACTAATCGTGTATCTGAAGAAAGGAAAAATATGAGACTCTAGAATAAGCACAGCAACAAAACTTCAAGTCTAACTTAGAATCACTTCAAGTTGAACTTTATCGTTTCCCTTCCTTCCCAAATATAAAGCAGTGCTTCAGAATTTGAGTTAAGAACTGTTTGTAAATATAAAAGAACTTCAAGGAAATTTGCTTTAGCCTACAAACACGCTTCAAAATTATTTAGATACTCTACAGACAGGTACATACCATCTCTGTTTCAAAACAAAGCGAGTGTCCAGGAATGTAGGTCTTCCAGGGTTCCAGGTACAAGTCATAGGATATGTGAGTTTTGACACCTGATTCACAATGCAACTTAAGTTTCTGGGCTTCTCTGGGGGCACTGTGCAGACAAAGTTACCAATAATTAATCTATATATACATTTAAATACAGTAAAGACTCATACTAAGTGTTCTATTAGAGCAATTTTCAGTCAACATTAGAAATAAATCTGTCTATAAATATTTCTGAAGAAGATTACAAAAAAATGCCAGATAATATCCAGCAAGGGAAGTCATAGAACCATAGATCATAAAATGGTTTGTGTTGGAAACCATGCCATGGGCAGGGACACTTCCCACTTGACCAGGTTGCTCAAAGACCCACCCAGCCTCACCCTGAACACTTCTAGGGAGGGGGCATCCACAGCTTCTCTGGGCAACCTGTTCCAGTGTCTCACCACCCTCAAGTCAAAAGCTTAACCATTTGTTCTGAGAAACATTAAGCTGTATAAGGAACAAGCATCTAACAGTAAGGAACAGCAGAGAATATATTTCTTTGAGGCAAAACACCTGGTATCAACCATCTCATCTAAATTTACTTTAATTCACACAGAAAAAAAAGCTAATGAGCCCTACAGGTGGATATGCATACACTGGCTTTGCCAATAACCTGAGCTCTAAGGCAACTGTAATAGGTCTATTCCTCCCACACCTGAGCTGTGGAAGAAAGATGCTTCAGCTATGAACAAATACAAGGGAGAGAAGGGAAGTTCATCAATGTGCTTTAGCAGTGTATAAAACTTTCAGAGTGCAGGCGAATTTTTTTCTTAAATTCAAATCGCAGCATAAAAAGAGTTGGTTTCTGTATTTTAGAATATCACTATTTTCATAACATAAACAATCTTATTTCCTTTTAAGCAGAATGCTATTTTCAACAAAACTACCTTATGAACCTTATAGTTCATTCCTGAATAGCTGTACTCTTCTCAAGTCTGTTATTCACATTGTTTACGGATTTTTCTTTACATGACAGTATGAAAATACAGGAGCTTAAAATGCAAATGCATCTCAAGTTTCATATGTGAATTACAACTGTGGAATATCATCTGTACAACTGTGGAATGTCATCTGTACTGTCATTCACTTTATCATCTTAGGACATCGTATCTGTCCTCATCTTTCCACGTAATTTGCCTGTCATATCTATTGCGGTAAGAAATTTACTCAACAGAAGTTGAAATAGAAAACATTGCTCTTCTGTGAAAATATTTTGTAACTCAACAGTAGAACCACATTACTTTAAATTGTGATCTCAAGTCAATCTTTTATATAAACCAGCCACAACTGCGATACCTTTTGCCCGCACTAGAAGGCACCATAAGCCATCAGCTATGCATCCTCTGGTATTAAGGCTGCCTGAACACTTGTTATGTAGACGGTCCACCAACTTACTGTTGAGTTACAATCTTTCCCAAGATGCCAGTCTTGTCTCAAAGAGCACTTGCTCAGAACTACTCAAGTGCTATCATGCTTGAACAAGGCAAATTTATAATTAGTTAAAAGTATTTTCTTATGTACAGAGGTAGAATAATCCAAATAGTATGTTCCATCCTTAAGACAGTTCAAGTTAGTTCTAGTGATACAGATGGACTAAATATTTCTCAGCCTGTTAATGTGTTAATGTCATAGTGTTATTATGAAAGCAGGACATATGACCTTCTTGTACTTCCTTGAACATTGAAACAGAAGGAAGGAAAAGTTAACATTTATTTCCTAGGATCAATTCCAGTTAAATATACGTATTTCTGTAATTTACATCTTTTTACTTTAACTTTCTTCTGTTGTTCTGTTTTCTTCTTATCTCAGTACTGATATGCTCTAAAGTATTTTCCGTTTTATCAAAACCTTTATTCTGCGCATATTTACCAGCTTTAACAGCATGTAATGTGCCAATGCTTTTATACAATTATCCAGGAACTGAGGAAACAGAAACATGCCTGAAGATGCACACACTTTCTATTGTTTGCATTCTCTTCCCTGTTTCTCCGAAGCAATCTGCTTAAGACCAGAATAAAATGCAAGGAAAATGGTACTTACAACCTACTGTAACTGTAATTCCATAGATGTTCTGCTCAATCTGTCCATCTGCTAAAACATTGCATGTCAGAGGAGTAGCTAGTGAAGAAGTGTCATTAAATGTGACACTGGAAACTGTTCTGTTTATTTCACGATACTGTTCTTTAGGTACCACTCTATTTTTAATTTTCCAGATAATTTGATGAGCATAGATATTGCCAAAATCAAGACAGCTTTCATTCAAAATGCATAATGCTGTGAAATTGGAGCCAAGGGCCAATACAGGAGACTCTGGGATGATGTGACCACATGACTGTACAAGCCCACCTGAAACTAAAAAAAGAATTGCATCTTTAGTAGAAGCTACAGAGCATTCCATAATCAATATTGATGATCCAACAGAAGTGTAATGTTAAAGATATTTCACGTCTCTAAGCAGAAAATTAATTAGTTACCCAACAGTTATAAAGATGAAAAGCAATAGTGGACCACCAAGCAGACTTAAGGGGCAAAACCAGTGCAATGTTCCCCCGGCTTTGCAAAAACCTTTTACCGAGCAAGAAAATCTCTATCAAAAAACAGCGGCGTTTAGAGAGAGTGGAGAGTCAATGACTGAGTGTTTAGTATGTTTGAATGTTTTAGTACGTATTGTGGTGGACTAGTTTCAGAAGAATTGCATGCAGACAGTTAAACATTAAGTTGTCCATTTCAAAAGCTTCAATGCCTATACTATAAGCATATCTGGGAATTGTAGTGAACTCTGAACATTTGATAGTGCTCTTTTTAGAAAGGAACTTCAACTCAACAATGAAATTGTGATTGTTGCTACAGAGGCACATAAAGAGAAAAACATCACATTTTGAAGACAAAATAGATGACTGAAACACCGCCTTGAATCAACAGCCATACTAAACACCTTCAGGATCATCATTTGCTACACAAGAGTGGTGCCCCATGGCTCCAACTTGATCACAGCGCATACTACACTAGTCCACTCACAGCTTACTGCTTTAACAGTGTTTTCAGTCTGACCAAGACATGCTTTCACTTAGATACCATTTGGCATATATGAAACTAAACTTTGGTTTCCTACTCTGATCAGTTCCATTCATGTCAGTGGAATCAAAGCAATCTTCCACAGACCAAAGCTGCTCTTCATTATCTCTGTTCAGTGAAGAGCAAAGAATAGACTTCAATACTGGTTTAACATGCTTTATTCTACCACAGTATTAACAGTAAAGACCAGGTCCATCTGTCCTAATATATATTGCCTTCTGCCCCCATCCCACAATTACCTAGACAAAAAGCAAGTATGTGCTTCAAGCATTTGACTAAGGAAGTTCCACGGCTGAAATGTGAGAGAAGTCTTACCTTCAAAAGAACTAACACTCAGGAGCAGATATAAGCCAGAGGCCACCAAGTTCCACCCAGAAAACATGCTGCACAGAACTCCTGTAACAGAAAATTGTTGCTTTTAAAAAACAAACAAAACTCCAAGCTATTACACTTCACTTTAGATGACTGTCAAATTAAAATTTTTATTTGATCTATGACAATTTCTTGGGTTTGCACATTTACTGTCCTGAACCAGTATGTTCTCACTCTACAAAAAGAATGGGCACATTGTTTCTGGCTTACTGCTATAACAAAATCCAACATCTACTTAAGACAACTGATGCAGTTTAAAGCCTCTTTACCTACAAATTTAAGAAATTCATCAGCTTAAGGTTTCATGTCATTTGCAGAAAACAACTTCACTTGTACTCCTGTGGGAGGTTCAGTTAAAATAGAGACTGTAACACTGTGGCTGAGGTTTTAAAACAGAACTCTATGAATGTGATTACAGTTACCATACTTACCTAGCTTTCAAGGGGACCGACAGAAATATTTTGTCCAAAATTCACAACAACTTGACATAAAACCGTCTCATTCAGAAGAGCGTTTTAAAATGCTGAAGAACAAGGCTTCCATATCGTGAACTGTTTATTATTACTGAAAAAGCATTAACTAATTCTTCAAAACCTTACAAGGGAGTTTGTTATTCCCCAAAAGTTGATTTTTTTTTTTTTTTTTTACATCTTATGTTCTTTAATTTTGTAGTGCAGCAGAGCTCAGTTGTTCTTCATTTTGACAACTCTACAAAACAGTTCAAAGAAACGGAAGCATTTAGAGTAGCTTCCAATTGTTTTAAAGTTACGAAGTCTCTTTAGGATTTCTCAACTTGCACTTATAAAGCAGCCCTAAATTACTATTCCCTGACTATTCTCTAATAAGTGACTATTCTCTAAGCATATAAAATATATTAAGTCATATTTATGCATCTTTAAAGGAATAGGTAAATTGACTTAGTAAACCTATGTTTAGTTTCCCGCTCTAAAAACAGTATGAAGTCTGCTTCTAGAAATCAGGTTGTGTGGACTAAATGTTATTTGACTAAGGTTTGAGATGAGATCGCCTGTAGCAACCCTGCTTCTAAAGGGCTTCTTTCTTTTTTTCCATTGACCTGACAAAAATGTTTGGAAACTGATATTCCAAGCTTTACCTCTCTAAAACGCAACTCATTAAGTTTAAAAGTATTCCTATAAAGGAAAATTTAAAAGGTACATTAATTGTGATCAGAAGGAGAAGAAACAGCAATTTATGGCAGAAAATACTCCTTTGCTTTGATTATATGTAGTTTACTTTATAGTAATGACAGAGACACATGGAATTTTACATAGATCAGTAAACCTACACAAGACATTTAAGCACTGATATATCAATACCCAGCTAGAAAACCACTCTCTAGGCGTCACCATAACCAAGCCCCTCTTCCCCCTCCTCCAAATCAAAGTAAACAGTATAATGTAAAGAAAATCTCTATTCACAAAATTAGAAACCAACAACCGAGCAAAGCCAATCTCAAACTTTTACAGCAGTCTTAGTAGGGCTCACCAATGTAGATACATTTCAGTTCGGACTAAAATAATAGTAATCAGAATAATTCAGCAGTATCTTTATTTACATCTATACTAGAGTTCATTACTCTCAAGTCCACCAAAATTTCCTAAAAAGAAATTTTGTACTAGAAATATCACTGATTATAAAACTTGACAATTATGCTAACAAGCCTTTATATTTACAACTACAGTTTTGTTTTAAACTAAATAACAAGACACATAATCATATTATAGTTGTATCGAGTTGACAGTAAAAAGCTATTAATTTTTTCTATGTTACAGTAAAGTACTCTAATGGGATGGCATAAGAAAACCATTACACAGTTTCAAGTGCAATACACCTTTAGATATTTATCACAAATGTACTAAGATAACTAAACCAATTGCTTTTTGCTTATTACTGATGTAAAATCTTCCAATAACTGAAAAAACATGGCTTCTACTCACCTATGCCTTCCTATATTTAAAGATTCGAACTGGTTTCACAAGTTTTAATAAATTCATTGGGTGAATACAACCAAACTCAGAACAGTATTCTCTTTTATTTAGGTCTTTAGACACTGAATAAAACCACCACATAGGAACCTATTTTATTGAGTTACTCTCAACATTTGTCAAATACACTGCTTGCTACCTAAAGCTTGCTTTGCTCTGTTAAGGATAGACCTTAAGACTCATTTAAAGCTATTTAAGCTGAACAATCTGCAGAAGATCTGAAACTCGTGAAAACCCTAAGGGCAACTACAAATTAGGTGGAAAGAAGCAGCAGTTCCACTTCCCTACTAACTGCCAAAAGCTGCAGAACAACAGCAGAAGCAGCTTCCAATCTGGCAAGAGTGAAGAAGACAAAGGCAAAAAGAAACGATTTTTAAAAGAATTAAGAAATTAAAGAATTTAAAGGAGCATTTCTCTCCCAATTGGTATCACAACTAGAGCCACGTTAGAATAATGGTAATGTCTGCAAAATTAAGTATTACATCACTACTAAGTTATTGGTTTTCATTTTGGTAATAACTTATTCAGGGTAAACAATATTTCTACAAAACTGTCCAAGAATTGCTGGCATTAAAAGCAATAACTGACTCAAAAGCAGTAAACAGTAATACAGAATTATCACATTCTGCTATGAAATACAATGTTTTTAATAAAAATAAAGAAAAATAAGACGACTTCACCTCTTTTAATAAATGCCATTCCTATATTCAACTGTCTTCCAGACCTACAATACATAATTTTATCTGTCCTGAGCAGATTTACTTACTCATGGGAAGGTGAAGTCCAAATCTTTACTGCTATGCACTTTGGGAAAATTAGTTTGTAGTACTTGTGCCACTATGTTCAGTTCATGAAAGCTAAGTGAGCTGAGACTCACATTTCATCACTTGGAATGGAAAGGTAAGTGGAATGCCCACCCACCTACAGTATGGGAAACAAGCAGTTGTGACTACAGTGTCAAAATCATGCCACAGTTCAGAATATATCTGCTTCTAGGCTCTTGGAAGGTATTTTACTTTAACTTCCCTGCTGATCAATGCAGTTTGAAGAAAGATTGAAGTTACACACCTTCAAACCCCCAAAGTAGCCATTTCAATCCCTTCTAGTGTGTGCTACTTTTTAAAACTGTCTGCCCAGCTTTTACAGGACTGATTCTTAATTGAAATTTAGTTGTAGGGGAAAGAACCAGAGTTACACTAAGCGTGTCCATCCAACTTGCCTAGATGGAAGCCATTAAAAAAAAAAACAACAAAAACGTGGGCCTTATAACTAACAAAACAAGGAGACATACTTCAGATCAGAATATGCAAGATACTTCTGTGGAAACCGGTCTTTTATAATCTGAGCATATAAAGATGCTCAGGTGCAGATGCTGTAGAAAACCTGCATATAATCTATGTGTCAACATTTAAAAGAAATGCTGCTAAACACCAGTTGTTCACCATTAACTACTTGAAGTCAGACTAAGTTGCAAGTCCAGACAAAGGAAAACTCCGTAGTTTCATCAATTATGCAAGAGAGCCCGAAGTCTTCTGTTTTGCAGACTGGTATAGTGTATTAGGAATCTAAAGTGAAAGTTCAACCCGATACTGAACTAACATCAAAACAGTCAGTTCAGAGGCTTTTTTCCCAAAAAGAAACATTTTACCTACACCATGTAGTTGTAGTGGACCATTAAGTGAAAAGGAAAGAGGGACAGTGAAAGAAACTTAAAAGTTTGTGGTGTTACTTTCATAGTTAAGTTTGCCAAAGTGACAAAGGATCAAAGCCCACCAAAATACTACACATTAGAAACAAATGGTCAATTTAGAACTGCTGCTCGTGACAGTCCTTAACTCAAAGGGAGAAAACAAAAGTTAAAATGCCACAAAATTACTTCATTAAAGACAGACATAGGAAACTCATGTCAGGAGATCATTCCATTTAATCTCTAAATCACACAGGACTTCTATTATTCGTCACATCCTGCTATGATTTTGAAAAAAAAAAATATCACTAAGCCTTTATGTCTGACCTTAAAATGATGCTTCAGGCAGTGTCCTATAAAAAGCTACTAAGGATCCTAAAGTCAAGCTTTATATGCGCAATATAGCAACACTAAGTTTTATGACTAACCCGTGAATAACAGTTTTTGAAGGAATGTCAGGTGTTCACAGAAAACAGATATTCTGAGCAACAGAAAAGCTTTACAAATTAATCTAATTTCATAAATCATGAGAACTACCTCAAAACAAACAGCAGTATATGTCATATGATGAGTTATCACCGCAGGGCAGCCAGCTTCCAAGTCGGGAAGCACAGGTAGCACCATGGCCACCACAGGAGGGTATTGGGTCTATTAAGGCTCATCATCACAGCAATCACAAAAGCCCAAAGGTTGCTGGCAAATATATTTACAGAAATTGCTCAAAAAAAAAAAAAGAAGAGCTAAGCTTAACAGCCTCAAACTGTGATCCCTCACTAAGAAATCACACAGCTTGGGCAGACAGAGCAAGTGGTACTGCACATAGCAGCTATTGCTTGAAGTTTTATAACAAATCAGGTAGTATTTAAAGTCCACCTAAAAGTTGCAATCAAAATTCCTTGAAGATAATTACTCGAGATTTAACTGCTTTCTAATTACAAGTATTTCATCTGCAAACTTCCTTCCTTCATCTAAGCCTACTTCCTTCTTGGAAATATTTATAAGACTTGAAAAACCCCAAACAGCACTATGAGAATCATTTGAACATCTTACATAACACTACACACATGGAATATTCTGAAATTTATTTTCATATTTAAAATATGTACGCACAATGATAGCTCTACCCCTTTCACTAAACAGTTAAGTCATTTATCCACATTAGTCATTCCTTTGCCTCTTGAAAGACGCTTCTCCCTACCTCTGGGATTCTAGTATAACACTCACAATAAAAAGCCCAAACAAAGGGCCACAGACTAAAATGATTGAAATACATCATCTGAAGCACCAAATATCTGCTTGCAAGAAGTAATTTCATTTTCTGGTATGTTCTT